ATTAATTGGTTCTTCTTTCATACTACCATAAAGAGCTGCTTGTTTAGAAGCATGAACTGGACATTCTTCCCTGACTTCTTGATTCGCATATGGACGTCTTTTACTGTGTAATATAATTGAAGATATAAAAAATATAAAATATTATATAATTATTAATAATTCTCTCTTTAAATAGACATATATATATAAAATATTATAATACTTGTGCGATGTTGATTCTCCTAATTCAACTTCTTTAGATCGTTCATTTCTGTAGTGACCCCGAATATGTTGTATGGGTTGATTATCCCATTTTCGATTTTCATTAACTTTCCAATCAGATAAAGAATTTTCATATCTTGCAGCCCACTCATCGTCATGAGCCTCCGAACGTGGAAGGCTATCCCTACTACCCCAGAGTGCTCTTGCTCGCCATTCTCTCTCCTCCCAATCAACAGCTGTATAAGATCTATCTCGACCATGTTCAACTTCTCGATGATGTGCTTCCCAATCCTCATTGGGAACAGCCTCATCTCTGATACAAAATATATACAAAGATTAGTACTTCTTCTATTGGGTTGGAGAAAAAGTTTCTTTGTATTTTAATGCAAAAATATATATATTCCAAACGTTGCTCCCTCTGACTATCACTTGTTTCGATCAATATCACAAAACCTGGCTGACTAGCACTTCTGGTGTTATAAAGAAGTACAGAATTGCATCGATTCGTGGATCGCTTCAAAAGATGAACAGTTTTTTCAACGTGGAATTCGTACGCTGTTCAAAAGATAGGGGAAAGAATGACCAGCGATGGACAATACTTTGAATCATAAATGTATAACCAGTTCTTTACAATAAAGCCTCGAATTTCGGAAAAAAAAAAACAGCGGAAACAAAGTTGTACACCTAATGGCACACAGTTTCGTGTCAAAAAATCAAAAACTAATTTGTAGTTGGAGGATTAAACGATAAGTCACTGAAAATCACTGTGATACGGAACGTGTTAATTCTATCATATAATAGAATAAAATAAATGAAAAATACCTTAGTCCGCTATTACCGGGACGTAATTTATCTCCGCCATAAATTGGATGTCTATGATGATGATGATGATGACGATGATCATCGAACGAAGATCTATCGCTAGTTTGTACAACATATCTAGAATCTCTAGATCTTTCTTCGCGAACTCCCCGTCTTTCGTCAAACGGACTGTCGTATCTTCTACCATCAATTAATTTTCTTCTGTCATCTTCATGTGGATGATGATCTCGATAATCTAAATGTGGATTAGGTTCTTCCTGATCCTCCCAATGATCTGCTCCAAGTCTTCCATAATTTCTGTTAAAACTTCTTTCCATTTCAATAGCTCGGCGTGGACTAGCATCTCTCCTTTCTACTACACGATCAATTTTAGTTGGGGTGACTCTAGACTCCTTCCTATCATGTTCAGATCCATGTCCACGTTCATACCTTGTACTAAATCTTCGATGCCTATCTCTTTCGTAATGCGTAGAGTCCACTCTATCGATCAAATGATCACGTGAAGCAGATAAAGCAGGTGCTATTGCTACTGCTGAGGAAGATGAAGTTGTAGATGACGCAACTGGTGGTAATAATGATGCAGACGATGCTGTTGCAGGAGGATGTACAGTTTTTTCAAGAAGAGGCGCTTTGTCTAACGACCGTTCTCTGGGGAAGCGATCAACTCGATCTCGTGGAGAATTGGTTGCTTTACGATTTAATGTATCTTTATCAGCGCCATTTCTATCATACCTTGCGTCAAAACGCTGAGATGAAGTTCTATCACGTTCATTAAGTGCCTTCGTTTCAGATCGTTCTCGTTCCCTGTCGCTTCTACGGTCACGTGTACCAGTTTTCTCATATGTACTTTCTTTTCCTGTAATCCGTTCTTTATCTCGACCGTATCGTGAATTTTTGTCCGCTGTTAAACTTATTGATGCAGACGGAACCAAGGATGAAACATCTCTATCTCTTGCTTTGATAGATTCCTTATCTCTATCTCGATCTCTATCTCGATCTCGATCCCTCTCACGATCCCTCTCACGTTCACGTTCACGTTCGCGATCTCTTTCACGATCTCGATCACGTTCTCTTTCACGTTCTCTTTCACGTTCACGATCTCTGTCCCTTTGTCTCTCTCGACAACGTTCCTGCGTATCATCCTTTTCTTTATCACGTTGTGGATCGTTACGTTGTGGATCACGTTGATCACGATTAAATCTTGTATGATTTCGTTCATCCCTTGCATGATCCTTATCACGACATTCCCTACTTTTTTGTCGCGCTTTGTCATTTAAATATGATTTTTCATCAAAATCTTTAATAACATTTTTACGATGTGCCTCATCTTGACTAGAAGATTGCCTTGGTTTTCCTTGTTCAGCTTTTCTAATATCTTCTCTATCCTTATTTTTATCATTCTTATGATTCTCCCGATCCTTCTTCTCCACGTCTCTTGATCTGCTTGAAGATGAAAGTCTTTCTTGATTTCTTAATGGAGTTACTTCCCGTTTTGATCTAGTTGCTTTTTCAGGTGTACGGCTACGTCGTGATTTTGTGGATACAGTTTCCTTATTATACTGATGCTTCGATCTGTCCGCTATAGACGGAGTTCTTGATCTCACATCTTTTTCCTTACATTTTGCTTTCAATCTATCATCAGTTTTCATTTTTTCATCGACTGCCCGATTTTTCTCTTTGTCTTGTTCTTTCAATTTTTCAAAGGTTTTGTTTTTCACATTTTCTTTAGATGATACGTCATCTGTATCTCTTAACTTTTTATAATGTCTATCATCTTTCTCTGATTCTCTACCTTTTATTGTTTTAGGCGAATCACTTCTATTTCTTTCTCTTGCTTTATTAGAAGGTAAATGATGAGCTACTGACACTGATGATCCCAATAACATAGGAGGTGTTGATGCAACTGCTGATGTAGATACCTGTACCGTGGGAGATCTAACCCGACTACCAGTCGAATGTTTTCTTGAAGTGGAAGAAGTTGATGCACACTTCTTATTTGTTCTTACAGAAATATCTTTTTTGACGGAACCTGCATCAATTTTACGTTTTTTCTTGGCAACAGGTTTTTCATTTTTTGTTCCAAGCCTTTTTATCTTCAGCCTACATTAATTTAGAAACATTAATAACATAGAAATTATTGATATACATATATATAATGGATTGTCTGGAAAGTTCGTATGGAACACGAATGTTCTGGACAACCCAATACATATATATTTTTCTACTTAAAATTATCTGACAAAATCTAAACAATTAAAGACATACTTTCTCCTCCTTTCTTTTTCTTCATCATAGTCTGTAGAAGCACTATGGTGTCGCTTTAATTTCATTTTTTTAACTTTTTTCCGCGAATCTGATGTTGAACTCGAGGAAGAATCTTCGCTGCTGGAACTGCTGCTACTGCTAGATGTGCTGGAGGTATGGGAACTAGAGGATGAACTCATTGCTTTTTTTTTCTGTCTAACTCTTTCTTTGCCATGAACTTCTTTATCTTTCTTCATTTGTATTTCTAATTCTCGTTGCAGGAGCTGCCTACGTCTTTCTAACACTTTCTCGTCTTCGTATTCTAGATCTGTTTGATTCCACTCTTCTAAATTCAAATCAGGACTATGCGATGGTTTCTTAACAATTTTAGAAGTTAGTCGTTTAAATGGGTCCTCAACAAGCTAAAAAAATAACAACAATGATAGACAATAGGATAAAATAAAATCTAGGCGATAATGCAATTTCATCCATGTACTTACCCCTGTCGTATTTGAAATTGCATTATCCTTCTTCGCACGCTTGGATGGACTTATCAGTGTGTGAGTGTTTGCATACCTATTCATGAAGTGAAAGAAAAAGAAATTATATTTGTTCTATGTCGTGAAGTTGATTTTCCATTTGAAGTTACAAATTTTTTTTTTTTTTAAACGATGCAGAAGAGATAGAAGCTGCAAGAGATATCTAATAACAATGTGCAGCACCTTGATTATTGCACACCGGTATAGATTTTTATTTCTTCCTTCATAGAGAATACATGTAAACGTGTACTTGCTTGCAATTTTTCCCGTATGAACAGCTGCCATTCAATGCCCAATTCCTGCAGTAATCTGATGTATTTTGACCTATTGCTGTGACTGCTGGTTTGGTCCCCAACCTTTCGAACACACTGGGTCGACGAGAGTCAGTATTACATTTCGTAGGGTCAACTGTTATCTTCCTTATGTTTGATTTTGACATATTATCACCATAAAACAATTATGTTTTCACAATGGAAGCACATAACTGCAATATGCAAATGTCCATTTGCTATGGAATCGCCGTGAATAGACACCCTACATGCAAAGAACAAGCACAATTGTCAGATTATCTGCACTAACTTCTAAATCATTCGTAATTGTTAAAAATAAGGAAACAGTTTAAAAAAAGAAAAAAGAAAAAAGAAAAAAAGAAAATTAAACAGCGTAACCAAGTTCTTTATCGAAATTATAATGCATACAAATTGTCTAAAATATTTTATTTTCAAGACAAATCGGACAACAATAGATTAACAGCTCGGTACATCCAAAATTCAGTTAAGAATACGTAAAAAATTTCACTACTCATGACTACCACCTTTTGAATTTCAATTGCAACAATGAATTGGAAAAGTTTTATTAGTTATATATATACGTGTAATAAACATTAAAAGTAATTTAATATTACTATAATAAACTAATATATAGTAATATCTCGTTAATTAACATTAATTCATGCATGCCTTATTTTTATTGTCGCATATTTAATATTATTTTAAATTAATAATTGTTAAACCATTTGATATATAGCCAAATTTTTTTTATAAATAATTTATAATATTTTATAATCGTGTGAGAGATGAAAATGTATAGATAATTTAATAATAATTTTTACTATATATATATTATTAATAGTGTATTTTTCAGTATATCCTATTGGACATCCAATAGCTGATGTTAACAATGATTTATTTTTCAGAGATTCTAATAGTTTTAAAAACAATGTTTTAATTACTTGTTTAAATATCTCACTTGTTTAATTGTTGTAATCTTTTTGTATTTGGTTTCTTGTGTAATATAAACTATGTTTGCAGTTCTACGCAATCTAGTAAATTATTTTCAGCTTTCTGTTTCAATCTTATAAAGCTGCGAAGTTTATGGTGAACGATCATATAATTTATAATTAAACTAACGTTTTTATCGTAATTTAAAAAATAAAATAAAAAGCATAACATTGCATTCAGAAATAAAATTGAGGATGGCTCACAATGGTAAGAGTTAATTTTAAAACAAATAACTAATTGTCAATTTGATCACTAATAAATTTTAGGTTATATTGTAAAGTATATTTTGTAGAAGAAGACAGCATTGAAATGGATCAACAAAATGATGATGATGCAGAGACTGAAGACACAGACAAGATTCTCATTATAGATCCTGATAGTGAAGTGTGTATTTAAATAAATATTAAAAAAAAAAAACAATATATATATATATATATATATAATAATATATATGTCTTGATTATTTCAGGAATTAGACTTCAATCATTCAAGACTTACAAAATTAGAAAATTTGGAACCATTAACCAAAGTACGAAAATTATGCTTTACTTGGAATTTAATTAAGAAAATAGAAAATCTCGATACTCTCTCTACTTTGATTGAATTACAACTTAGAGATAATCAAATTACTATAATAGAAAATCTCGATGCCCTTGTGAATCTTGAGTAAGTTGATTTAATATATCATATTTCTATTAGGAATTTTGCCTTTTTTTTTTCTTTTTTTTAAGTTGACATTTTAATGTATTATTATTACATTTTTCAGGATTTTAGATCTTTCTTTTAATCGTATCAAAAAAATTGAAGGATTAAATAATTTATTAAATTTACGTAGTTTATATTTATCGTCCAATAAAATTGTATATATTGAAAATCTTTTACATTTAAAAAATCTTGAGACCTTGGAATTAGGTGACAATAAAATACGAGAAATAGTTCATTTAGACGATTTGACAAATTTAACGAATTTGTATCTCGGGAAAAATAAAATTACTAAAATACAAAATCTAGAAAGCTTGCAAAATCTCCAATTGCTTAGTTTACAAAGTAATCGTATAACAAAAATTGAAAATTTAGAAGAATTAACAAAATTGGATGAATTGTATTTATCTGAAAATGGAATTACATGTATAGAAGGTTTAGAAAATTGTTCAAAGTTGACAACTTTGGACTTGGGTAATAATAAAATTAAAAAAATTGAAAATATTCAACATCTTCAAGATTTGGAAGATTTCTGGGTAAGAATCAATAATATAGATGATATCTAATATATATTCGTTTAGACGATCAATTTGTTTCTTATTTCAATTTTAATTTACAGATGAATAATAATGAGATTGAAGACTGGATAACCGTGGAGAGCTTAGTAGTTAACAAAAGTGTAAAAACTGTTTATTTGGAGAAAAATCCTGTTTCAAAAGATCCAAATTACAGACGAAAAATCAAATTATTATTACCTTGGCTCGTACAATTAGATGCAACACTTTGTAGATAAAAAGTGTAAATGTCAAGCGTTATAAAAGAAAAATAACCAAAAAGGATAAATGGCATTAATGTCAAAAATTATCTGTTTACAATCTTGCACTTCTTGTTTTAATATTTTGATAATTAATCACCAATAAAAAAAAATATAATAAATGTGATATTATTAAATAATATAGTAATATTCATATCAGTAAATTAAGCTGTATATCAAATCTTGCTACCAGTAATTATTTTTTTTAATTAATATATACCGTAAGCTTCCATATATTTTTATGAGTAGTCTCATTAAATGATTTCATAAATATATCTAATGAGTAAAGATATGTAAACACTTGAATGCAGTTTTTTATTTGATGTCTAAAATAAATTCTTTTATTGTTGTTTTGTTAGGTATACGCAACATTGAAATGTAATCAGTAATGATTGTATTATTTTTATGAAGTATAATGATACTAAGAATAAATTATTGCTGTTTATTCATTTTGATAAAATATTTATTTTTTGTTATAATACCTATTAATCTTCCTCAAATTGAATTTATAAGATTTAAATGATATTAAACTTGTGCAATGTGTTAAAAGTGTAAATATGAAGTATGTATTGATTTTTCAAAACTACAACTCACATCCATGTTAAGCATAATGTGTAATTTTCACTAGAATAATATAAATGTTATATCTATGATTATACTATTTAATATAAGATTACTGTTAAATGATTACCTTTTTGAATGGTTAAATATGAAGTACTTTATAAAATTCGTAAATACGGAACATTTTAAGTGATGTAATTCTAACCACGTATTTCGATTATTACACTAAAGAGCATCATCGCAATTTAAAATAACAATTAATTTTAATATGTATTAAATGTACAAAAATATTCCATCAAATAGATGAAGTTAAACAAGTTAAGTTGAAGTTAAACTTATATCGAAAACATTTACTAATGAAAATTTAATGAAAAATTCAATATATGCTTGAACATATAATAACGATAAAAGTTGCACATCTTTATAGACTAATTATTTATATATTATATTTTTGTAAATGTATAGATTATTTTTTATTTCAAAAATCTGTAAATAATATTTTTACTGGTATTAATCCAATTTAGTAATGTTTGTACTTATGTAGCGAAAGTTAAATCAATGATAAAGCTCAAATGCTATTGGATAAAATTATTTATTAAGAAACGTTGATTGGTCTATTTACTTTCGGAAAGAAGATAGAGAAGATAGAGTTAGAAGGGGTATATATGAATCGTATATGACGTCACCATCAGCATCCGCGGTCGGCCATTTTGTGAGTGTGTGCTCGATTGAATATTTGTATTGAGAAGCTTTTGCAGTAAAACCGAATGATTTAGTTTATAGATAAGCTTATTTAGCGTAATATTATATGTGCTAAAAGTGTATTATATTTTTCGGATATTGGATAGATCTATAAAATGGAGGAAAAAGCTTCACTGAAAGAGTTGGATCAGTGGATAGAACAATTAAATGATTGCAAACAACTGACAGAAAGCCAAGTGAAAACTCTATGCGACAAGGTACTTAGTACCATTTATATACGTTCGCAAAAAAGCCGGTTCATTTTTTTTAGAATTTTATAGTTTTATATTTGTTCTTTATATTTTATATATAAAAATCATTAAATGTTTCAAATCGGAAACGATCAGTAAAAAAGTTACTGCAGGTTGCTTTACTATGATATATAACAAGGATGTGTCATACATTTATGAGAGATTAATTGCTTTTTTATATTTTCAAATAGAGTAGTACTAATTGATCTTTTGACATCTCATCAAAATAACTTTTTATCTTTACTATTATTATTCTTTGACAAATTGAATAGTCAAGTTTAGGATCTTTTGCTATGGAATTAAGTTTATAATAACTTATAATTTTGTTCTTATGTTTTTAAATTCGATTACTTTTCGCAATGAATGGTAATATCGTCGCAATAATTAAATTAAAAAAAAAATACAATTTTTTAATTTTAATTGCAAAGATGGTAAATTATACAAATTGTAGATATATTGTTGAACTACAAGGCTATATAAATAGTTTTCTACATTTCAGAAATAATAGCAATAATGTATAATAAACTTGATCTATTGTTTTGGATAGTATGAAAAATTTGAATATTATAAAATATAGAAAAAATTAACAAATATTTAAATATATAATAATTAAAATATATTCTAATTATCATATGTTCTAATTGAATTATCGTAATAGAATTGAAATTTAATAATTAAAATTAATTTATGAATCAGCTTCATTATCTATAAATCCTCTTCGTTATCTATATGTTATAAATGTACTAAAATAAAATTTCTGTTTATATTTAGGCAAAAGAGATATTAGCAAAAGAATCAAATGTACAAGAAGTAAAATGTCCAGTAACTGTGTGTGGCGATGTACATGGTCAATTTCATGATTTAATGGAATTATTTAGAATAGGAGGCAAATCTCCAGACACAAATTACCTATTTATGGGTGATTATGTTGATCGTGGATATTACTCCGTTGAAACAGTTACTCTGCTTGTTGCTTTAAAGGTATAGGAGTATAAAGTTTATCTAATATTTATCTTATCAAATTTACTTAAAATATAATATTATTTCTGTAGGTAAGATATCGTGAAAGAATAACGATTTTACGAGGTAACCACGAATCCAGACAAATCACACAAGTATATGGATTCTATGATGAGTGTTTACGCAAATATGGCAATGCCAATGTATGGAAATTCTTTACGGATTTATTTGATTATTTACCACTGACTGCTCTGGTTGATGGTCAAATATTTTGTTTACATGGTGGACTATCACCTTCAATTGATACCTTAGATCATATAAGAGCTTTAGATCGTCTACAAGAAGTTCCCCATGAAGTATATATAACATTTTTCAGTTAATAGTTCAATTGCAATACGACAAGTTATATGTAAATAATTCTTGATTGTGTTATTTGTAGGGCCCTATGTGCGATTTGTTATGGTCAGATCCTGATGATAGAGGAGGATGGGGTATTTCTCCTAGAGGAGCTGGATATACTTTTGGTCAAGATATATCAGAAACATTTAATCATTCGAATGGTCTTACACTGGTATCAAGAGCTCACCAATTGGTTATGGAAGGATATAATTGGTAAATCTACTTTCCAATACAATTTACTTAATTTTTAACATTATTTGTAAATTAATAATTAATTTAATATTTTTTCTTTTAATTATGTATTATGCATTTGAAATTTCAGGTGTCACGATCGTAATGTTGTAACTATCTTCTCTGCTCCTAATTATTGCTACCGTTGCGGTAATCAAGCCGCGATTATGGAACTAGATGATGCTTTGAAATATTCATTGTAAGTATTACATTTTAATATAATGTTTAAGGATAAGTTTTAATAGGTTCCAAACTTATCATCATGTTTTTCGTATTTTAGCCTTCAGTTTGACCCAGCACCAAGGCGTGGAGAACCACATGTCACTAGGCGGACACCAGACTACTTCCTTTAAAGAGTTCAGTTTTAAGGAAGTAGTTACCAAGGTAGGGGAAAGAATATCTGATTTTATAGAGATGCCACCGAACATAATTTATGATACAACATCAGCATCAGTATATAATTTGTTCTTACTTTGTGGTGTCTCTTCAAAAGATATAATACATGCTTGTTCAATGCGAGCAAGTTCCATGCCACATATAGACACAACATTCATTGTACACATAAGGAATACAATAATGTATACACATACCAAGTAAATTCACCTGCAACATTGAGTTTTTTCAACCATCATTATACTGCTTGTATTTTTATTATCGAGAAATATAAAGAAAACTGAACCATAATAGGTAGTGCGAACAAAATATGTATGTTTGATATTGCTTTGAAACCTTTAATGAATATTAATTTACTACAAACTGTTTGTATGAGCAATATGTTCAATAAGCATAAATTTAGATAACAATATCACTTAAGGTTTCAAAGAATAAACTCAAATGATCATAGTTTTTAATTAAGAGAATATCACATAATTGATTGTATAAATGGAATCTAGAATGTTCCATTGAAAATAAAAAATAAATGAATAATAAACAGGGATTGGTGCAACAGTGATTTGACATATTAATATTGTGCCATGTAGTACTTTATAATATTGTTTCTATTACTTTATTTCAATAATTTTTCCTAATAAAAAAAATCAGAACATATAAAAATAATAATATAAAGCTGTAATTTTTTCAAACTCAATTATATTTTTTATACGCATAAAGCATATTTATATTTGGAATATATCTAATTTTTTTTTTATAAAAGATTCTTGATTTATTAAACCTGGAATTTGACCAGTTTTAAAGTTTTTTAGAATTTTAATTTGCATGAATATAATAATAGAAACGTTTCTAATGACGCAATAAAATTTGGTACTTTTGCATCAATCCTATCGTATTTCTAAGTGAAACACGCACTCCGTACGATAAATTCATACATTCAAAAAGTTAAATTGAAAGTTAATCGCTTGTGAAAAAAACTGACGACATTTTTACTAATTAATAGGTATAACATGATGCTTCTGGTTAATAAAAATGTGTATTGCAAGCCAAGCCAACCTAATGTGTTGTGTCGAATTATTCATATTCGTCGATAACGAAGGCATTGTATACACGAACCTGTAAAACACATACAGATGTATTCATAGGAGTAAGCATGCAATTTGAGTAAATGAATAATAAAATCATATAGAGTAGCGGTGATGAGGTGAACATGAAGTATAGATGCACATTATAGTAATTTACTAAGACTGTAAATCTAAAATGTACCACAGAAAATATAATCCGTAGATGCCTCGATCCTTTCTGCATAATGCAGGCTGAGCATTTTTCTTATTTTATATTATACAATGCACTTACTTTTTTGATTATAGTAACAGAAAATAAATTTTCCTATAGAACAGAAATTTGTAATATCATAATACATCAAATGACTTTATTAGAATTTCATATAATAAATAATTAAAAAAAAATAGATACTAGACATTGTATAGATAATTTTGTATTTGTTCTATTTATTGTCTATTCAATTTTTTTTCTATTCAGTATTTGCAGGTAATACTGTTAAAAATAAGGGATAAAATTGAAAAGATTTATTCTGTTATACAAGTATGCTTCATTTGCAACGTCTCAAAGGATACATATATAAATATACATACACACGCAATAACTTATAATTTTTTTCTGGTCTGACTCTGGCTCAGAGTATACATTGCCAGTTTTTACATATACGGAATTTTCTTATCGTCTTAAAGCAATGTAAATGTTAATCTTGTGCTTCGAGCATATGTGCTGATAAATTGACAAGTGCACACGTACAAATATAAAAAATAAAAACTTTATACATATATAGTAGTAGAATACACAAAAGGTAGTAATTAACTAACTTCCGCTTACAGTATATTATAATTGTCTATTAGAATGAAATATTTTATACAAAAAAAATAAATCTATCACTATTTATATCTTTTTTTATGTTGCACAATAAATATTTCAAATGCCTATCAATTGTGCGTGTACACATTGTAATTACTAATATCAGCCTGCATAATTTTTTTGTATTTTACATATTTTAAAACTGATTTTAAAAATCTAGGAAGGTTTGCAAAATCTGCACATAAGCAGATAATATGGAACAAAGTAAAAAACCATAAACATATGATAATTGTCATCTCATTATGAAAAACTAGAGAAATAAAGATGTTATCATATTTACAAATCGCTTTTCTATTGTCTCAATATATTCTTCATTTTTATAGATTTTGAATTGGTATAATTTTTTGGTATTCAGATTAATATTTTTTCATTTCAGGTATATTCTGGATGACCTCATCATATTTTTTAGTTAATCTCCATTTCTTTTTTTCCTTTATAAAATGCAGTTTTCCATGTAAATTAATGATCATATTTTAATTCGTCCTTTTAATTCTTGTTTTGTTACAGCAAATATTCATAAGCTTATAATGTAAAAAGTAGTAGTAGGAATTATTAAAAAGGCATTTATGTAGAAACAAAAATTCATAATAATGCACTTATTAAAGTTTAAAAAAGTTAAATTGTATAATTATTACTTATACAATCTCATTTTCATTTATTGTGTGTATGAATGCTTTATAATAAAGTTAATAAGTTACACCCTGTGTATGTAGTTTTTCCACTTTATTCTTTTCTGTTATTTAACTCGGATTTATTTGATATTAAAATGATTATATAAGATATTTTTAAAGCATGCTTTACAAACATACTTATTTATATTACACAGTCTATATAAAATGCATAATACAAAACATGTATAATATATATTGCATTCAATAATGAATTAATAATACGATTAATGATAACAGTCTTAGATTACACTACAGAAAGTTTATATTTACATTACTATTATAAGAAAATGTATATTGATGTGTTTTATTTAATCTTAATAAATATAACCAATTTGTATAATATTCAACAATATTTAATTTAGTTATTATGAATTATTCTTGTGCAGTATCTATCGTCAAATTTATTTATATGATATTACAGTTCTATTTCAAAGTTTTTATATTTCGATGAAAGGATTTCAGTATATTTAGCTTTTTACTTACATGAAAATAGTAATTAAGAATTTTTGCAAATTATTTCCTGAGTTACTACAATCACTTTGAATGTAAAAAAATATACACTCACTAAATGCTACTATCACCAATATTATTTTCTACCCTGTTTTTCTAAACATTGCATTGATATTTTTCATCTGTTTATCTACGTATTTCTATTTTTGCAATAAAATATTAAATATGACAGCAAACTATTTTTGAATTATAATTAAATATAAATCATAAATATAAAAATTATTTGAAATTTTAAATTAGACATTATAAAATATTAAATTAAAGTAAACAAATACTAATTAAATTTATGAGGCATATTTAAGTAATGAAGGGAAACATATGTAAAAATATGGTATGTTATTAAAAATATAAAAAAATTATTAAAATATCCATAATACTTATGCTTTGTATATAGTCGAATTGTCATTTTAATAAATGAAAAGCAGATAAAAATGGAAATATGCTTAAGAAAGTGTTTTGTATGGTTAAAGCTAATATTCAATAGCTGCTTGCTGGGGTGACCTATATTTGTTAAAATTTATAATACTTTTAATATATATATATTGCATGACACCTTCTTAAGGTTTTTTCTTCTAGCTATTTGATATCAATGATATCAAATATTAAAGATTACAAAATACTTCATATTATATGTTCATGCAGAGAAATTAATTGATTAAATTTCAATTAAAATTGACTATTTAAGTACATGTATTATACTTGCATAAAAATTAATTTATACAACTAGTTCACTAGATAGCATTTACTATTACCCCTATTGAAAATGATAAATACCTTTAAAAAAATAATCCACGAATAAATGATATACATTATCAAGAAAGATATATTTTTAAGCGTGTGTGTGCGTGAACTACTAATAATTTTTATAAAAACATTTATATGTACATATAAAAACAATTGAACGCACGTACCTGATATCTGTTCGTTTTATAGTCATGGTTATTAAAATAAAATCTCTAAGAATGTGAAATCAAACAAGTGAAGAAATTATATCGGATATTAGTTATAAATATTAGGACACAATGTAGTAATTTTAAGTACAAATATATAAATATAAATGCAATTAATTATGTGCAGCCTTTTTACCATTCATGTATCCGATCCACCTTTCTGCAGTTGCAGTAAAAAGTGGATCATTATCAATAGTATTAAGAAGAAGAAGCTGATTAACATGTGTGGAATGATAATCCCACCTAGCTAAATTAGGAGCTATTTTTAAAGTAAAATGACGTAAATCATATGTCGTACCTGATCCGGTATCATATAAAGTTAACATATTTTTAAGTGAGATCATTCCTTGATTAAATAATCTTGATGCCTCATTTGCATCTTTACCTGTTGCTATACTTTTTAAATCATAGAGTCCAATGAGGGAGTATATAAATCCATTAAGAATAAACGAAGGTGGAGTTGTAGGATATTCTTCATACCAAATATATTTGCCTAAAAATAGAGCTGCTACACCTCCTTTATTAGATGATAATTTAAATGGCCTTAAACCTCTCACTGCAGCTTGTAAATATTTTTCTTCTCGAGAATGATAATAAGCTCGCGCCAATACTGAAATAGCATGCCCTTGACCCATACTGGAATACCTAAAATAATATAGTATGTAAACATAATAACTAATATATTCAGTTTGCACTGTAGAAAAGTTAACGCATTAAAAAATTAGTATAAATAAAATGCTACAATATACCATCCAGGTTCCAGCGTAGCCATACCAGTAGAAACTCTTCTTCTAACTGGATTTGGCCATCCACCAGATGTAATATTTTGATTAGCGACAAACCATTTAGCAGCATCATAAAATTGTTCCATATGTTCGCTTGTTGATAATGTAATATTATCGATCATTCCAGAACCATAAAGAGTTATTCTAATGATCTATAATAAATATATAAATTAAATGATTTATTTATTTAAGATCAATTTTTTCACCTTAAAACAATATATAGTAACCTTTAATTTAGATCGTGAAAGTTTCTTTTTACTTTTATCATTTAAATATAATCCTTTTTGTAAGTCAATAACTAAATCTCTGGTAAAACGTTTCCATTGATGATTGTTTTGTCCAATTCCATAATATATATGATTCTTATAGGTATGTAACATTACATTATTTGCTGTATAATGTAAGTTATACATATCTTTCTTTTCTCTAGATTGCAATGTAACCATAATGCTACCATTATCCTTAATCTTTAGATCCCATTTTAATACAAGATCTAATACATGATCCAGTTTTAAACTTATTCCAGAAGTACTCGTTTCAGGTGTTGCGAATTTTGTAACATAGCTATTAACTTGTTTGTCATATATTCGAGAAATAACAGATCCTTGAGGAACAGACCATTCTAATTTGAGTTTATCAGAATCTTTTATCAATTTTCTGTAAGGTTCAGGTTCTGTTAAATTTTTGCTATAATGGGACAATCCAAATTGGGCAATTTGAGTTGGATAATAATATCCTTGACTTTCCCATTGCGTAGATATCGGTACACCATCGCTGCCACTAACACACTTTACTCTTTCTCTAACTTCAACGTTATAATTTTCAAATGTCATAAATATCCCTCGGGGATCATATTTACCCTTAGGAGTTACAATTTTGGAGTAACTGTGTAACCACTCAAATCTTTCTAATCCATCGTATGTTGCCAATTTACCATAAATCTATTCAATTAGGTTAGATAAATTGTTAACACTGTCAAACTATATATGCATTACTTTAATTGATACTTACTTCAAAATATTTATGAATGAATGAAAAGGGTATGTATACTTCATCTCCTTCTTTCCGACAACCAATTGAATAATCACCATTTATTGAACAATCTATTTCTTGATATCCTGGTTCATTATTTACTTTTTCCTTAAAAACAATTTAATTTATAAATATTATTAATACAGTTATATATATACATATAATTTTCAATTTGTTTAACAATAAAACAATTAATGATTGCGATCAATTGAAATACTTGATTAACTAACTTTATGTTGAAACTGATATTTCCAATCTGTTGGCCTTAGAAAGAAAGGATATCCACAATTGTTCCATGATGTTAGTAAGGAACTTATAACAGCAACAATCAATATTAATAAAGTCGTTTTGTAATTCATTCGCATCATCATATGTAAACTTTAAAAAAAAAACCTGTGTCAGGAATGGATGAAAAAGATATGAGTAAAATGGACTAAATCGAATGTCTATGTATATGTATATACATATACAACTAATTATATTCGAACCTTTCATTGTAATGTTTTCTTTATTTCAATTCGATCCTATATGTGCATAATATTACAAACGATTAATACGATTTTTCACATTAGTATGCATTTAAAGTAGTTTCGTTCACCTCAAACATTGCATTTACTTGCAAGTAAGTAGTACAATATATACATATATGTATACGATCCTCTAGTTACGAAAAATTCATTAATATTAACAATGTCAAAACCAATTGAAAATAGGTCATCAAATATATACGTTAAGACAATACGATTTATTAATATACATTTTGCATTATATATTTAAATATACGTGTATATATACATTAATTTATCTAATTATAAAATTGTTTGATTAAAAGAGATCTCGTTGTATGTTGGTAGCACTGCTAGAAGACATTTCGGTCTTTTAACTTGTTCTGACTTCTGTCAGTTCGTAAGTAATAAATCCAAAAATTGTTTATGAAGCATTTCCCTACAAGCTGTTGAATTCCTTTCAAATCAACATATTTGTTCAATATTATAGGGAAGAATGTCTAGCGAAAGAGAAAACGTTAAAACTGTGAGTATATTCATGAAGATTTACATACAACTTAAACTTAACATATATTTTACAGTAATATCATTTTATATAGTAACCTATAAAACAATAAAAATATTTTATTATTTGTAGTTTTGAAGTTATTAATCAAATTTTACAATATTTATTAAATTTTAACAAGATTTATATATTTTTTAAATATACCTTATTAATTTCCTTTTTTTCATTATTTTTTTTACTTAACCGTATATTTTAATAAAAATATTATTAATATTTAATAGTTTACTAGTCCTGAAGCTCCAGGCTATGTAGGTTTTGCAAATTTACCTAATCAAGTGCATCGAAAGTCGGTGAAAAAAGGATTTGAATTTACACTTATGGTCGTTGGAGAATCTGGCCTTGGAAAATCTACGTTAGTTAATAGTTTATTTTTAACCGATTTATATCCAGAAAGAATAATTCCTGATGCTGTTGGTAAGCATTGTTAAAATAACTTAATATGAAATTATGTATGTTTTGTTTTTTAATTAGTTAGCTGTAATCAACGAGTATACTCGTCATGGAAAAATTGCAATATTTTGTGTTATCGCTGCATTTTTGCAATGCAATTTAGATATGCAATTTTTAAAGAGGTCAACACAGCTAACTCATTAAATAACAAACGGTAATTACTTGTTCCGCATGACGAGTACGTATACTCGTCAATCACACACACACAACTAACTGATTAAATATATTTTTCTATCGTTGGATTTGATAATGTTATTAATAAATGAGTATTTATATTTATATACAGAGAAAACTAATCAAACTGTAAAACTTGACGCTTCCACGGTAGAAATTGAAGAAAGAGGCGTTAAACTTAGACTTACAGTTGTTGATACACCTGGTTATGGAGATGCTATTGATAATACAGATAGTTTCAGAGCCATCATTCAATATATTGATGATCAATTTGAAAGATTTTTACGCGATGAAAGTGGATTAAATAGAAGAAATATAGTCGATAATAGAATACATTGTTGTTTTTACTTTATTTCTCCATTTGGTCATGGGTAAGAATTTTTTTTTATCTATTTAAATATTTCTAAGTGGATTTTGTTATATTAAAACATTTGTGACCAGTATTGTTCAGGTGAGACGTTTAATTGGATACCGCATATAATAACTTAAAATATAAAACATATTAATATATTAAGAAATAATATTACAATTTAACAAAAAATATATGTATAAACAATTATAATTTATTTATTTTTTTAATAGATTGAAACCTTTGGATATAGAATTTATGAAACAATTACATAATAAAGTTAATATTGTACCAGTAATTGCAAAAGCAGATGTACTTACTAAAAGAGAGGTACTACGTTTAAAGAAACGTGTAATGGAAGAAATTGAAGGTAGTGGCATTAAGATCTATCCACTACCAGATTGTGATAGCGATGAAGATGAAGATTATAAAGAACAAGTAAGACAATTGAAAGAAGCTGTCCCATTTGCAGTTTGTGGTGCAAATTCCTTACTCGAAGTTAAAGGGAAAAAAGTTAGGGGACGACTCTATCCATGGGGTGTTGTTGAAGTAGAAAATCCAGATCATTGTGATTTCATTAAATTGAGAACTATGCTTATGTAAGTAAAAAATTCTAATACAAAAAAAACTGTATTATTATAATTCAATGCAATCAGTAATAATTGTATGTATTATTTTAGAACACATATGCAAGATTTACAAGAAGTTACACAGGAAGTACATTATGAGAATTATCGTAGTGAAAGATTAGCTAAAGGAGCTCCGGTTCCACCAAGACGGCAAACGTAAGAATATTTGAAAATATATAAACTGTAATAATTTATTTGTAAACAAAAAAGAGTATTAATATAAAAATAATTTTCTTTCTTGTAATAGAATTGTTGAGTCGGAAAAAACAACTTCTGTATCAGAGAAAGATCGTATTTTACAAGAAAAAGAGGCTGAATTACGTCGTATGCAAGAATTATTGGCAGTAATGCAGGCACAAATGCAACAGCAACAGCCATAATTAAATAAATGTTGGACAAACTTGAGGAAGAGCTTCGGCTCTATAGGTGCCAAAAAGTTTATAAAATATATGTGACATACAAGAATGTAGCTTTAAGAGACAATTTAATTTTTACAAGCTTCTATTTAGCTGATATATGCGTTATATAAGAACATTCTTTAATGCATAGTTCTTTTTAACTACTGCTTGCATACAAGTATATTTAATATTTGGTAGACTAATATTTTTTTGAATTAACAAGATTTAATATGTAAGATAAATAGGACAATTATTGATACATAGTGCAAAATAATTATATCTTTGATACCAATACCATTGCAAGTTAAAAGACGATAATGAGAAGAAAGCGACAGTTGTCATAAGTGCCTTGTAATTCTTTATTTTGTTTCAAAAAGTTCTGGTTTAAAAAGTTCGTGAAACAATATTAAACAAAAATTATGAGAAATAGGTCTCCTAACGAAAGTTATTTACGTTATGATTACAATACATTTCATGTCCACTTAGTTTTTAAAGAATTACTATGAAATAATTAAAAGGAGGCAAATATCAAAGTATCTCATATTGTGCTAAAACCAAAAAATTCCAAACTAATATATTATATTTGTTTATAGATACTGCGAAAAGAATCTCGTATTTAATTTAAAAAATAGAATTCATGTCAATGTTATATAATATACATTATAATAACATATGATTTTACAAGACTTTAGATATGGTATAAACATTTTTTTAAATTATCATTGTTCACAAATAATATATGAGTAAAATTATACTCATTTGTACAATGAGAAATATGTCTTCGAATATACAAATATTTTTCGTATTTGTATATATATATATGTATACTTTCCTGACATATCTAATTCAAATAGATTATGTGATATCATGTATTTGATGTGTGATCGTGCAGAAGGTTTTAAAAAAAATTAAAAATATAAGACTGGAGTTTCTTTTAACAACAAAATATATTATAACTTAGAAAAGATATTGTTTACTAATATGGAAAATTATCCAAAAATAGATGATAACATTTTGCACATATTTATCTTACAAAGGTATTATGTGAAAAGTATTAAGGATTATTCCAAAAATGCATTTAATTTACTTCATTTTTATTTACCAGATTATTAAGATATAACTTAGTATTTTTATAATACAATTTAATAGTATTTTGAGGTATATAAAATAAATAAAGAAAGAATAGTTCAATCGATCTGTGGGAGTACAGTCAAGTTTTAGATAATTTAAGATGAACAGATATCAATTTTTCACATATTTTATACCTTGACCATTGTACTTATTTTTAAGCATTTATACGTATTTATATATTATAAACATGTTTTATGCTTTTTTATGTATTATAAATATGCGCAGTATATGCAAGCTTTTATATCTTTTCTATAGAAATACATAAATTGTAATTCCATTAAACATTGTTTATGATTTGTGCATGTAATAATCTATTGCAGTAGAAAATGCTGCAAATCCTGCAGCCCCTATTATTCCTGCTTTTACACCAGCTAGAAACAAATAAAAATTTAATGTATCTATCATCATATTATTTTAACCCTTTTGATACTACCAGTGACTATAGTCATTCATCGTTTGACGCTTGCTGTGTCTTACTTATGATTATAGTAACCCAATGTTACATTCTTATTTTACTATAGTCACCCTTGAATATTTAGCATCAGTTTATAAATTTTATAATCTAAATATTTTTAAATGCATTATGATATGCATTGTAACATAAAATTTTTTATTTATTTCACGACAAAATTTATGTCATGTTATAACTAGCTTGCACAGTAGAACTTTATTAGCAATGCAACTATCTATACAGTAGAAGCATACTCGAAAATGATATAGTCATATCAAAAGGATTAAATATTGACAACAAATAATAAATTGATACCTCTTAAGCCTATTAGACCACCCGTCACACCGCCTGCATAAGTACCATTTTTCCAATCAGTTTTACCTCTATACTAAAATTAAAATAAAACTTAAATAAATTTTGTTTAAATAAATAAAATTGAATTTGAAAAAAAGAACTTACAGATTCTATGCTACATTCAACGGCTGAAAATACTAAACCCACAGCGGCAAAATTCTTCGCATAACTAAGCGTTGTCATTTTCATTTCTCTAAATATTTCACGTGCAGTTTGTTTTTTATCTACACTTGTCATATCCGGATTTACGCTTGATGTAAATAAACCTATAGCAGCTCCTAATCCATATCCTACAAATATCATACTAGTATATAGTATCTTTTGTTTAATATTTATATTAAATATAAAAACAATTGTTAAATACCAAGTACACAGCTCATAATACTCTTAAAGACACAACTTTCCATAACTCTTTCAACCATTTTTTCTTCATTAGTTTTAATTTGTACAGGTGCTATCGTTGCTGGTATAATAATATTTTCTCTATATCTTTCTCGAATTCCTATTAAATATACAGCCAAATTATCCCATTCTGCATTACTCATAAAAACTTTTTTATTTTCCTGCATTGAAAGATCAGCTGATTTAGATTGATCCATAAATAGCATAATTGTAATATATTGAGATCAAAGTTTGTTAATAGTTCATTTTACAATGTAACATCAAAATTATTGTAGAGAACTAGGCGTAGGAATTAAAAAACTTTATCATTAATTTTATCAATAAAAACTTTAACGATAACTTTTGGCAAATGTAATTTCTGCAATATAAACATATATTTGTACTATTTATCACATGTATATTTATATTCCAATTATATATTTCATATAAGTTTGTTTTTTACGAACCACGTGTTGCAATCATTTACGAAATGCAACTGCATAAGCTGACTGGAGTAGTCAGTATGATGTACACACTAAAATATTTATTTGATTATGCGTGTGTGTGTTTAAATCACAATTCCTTCGCTAGATGGCAGTTGCATGCTCATTTTAGACTAATTTAATAGGAAATTTGAAAAACGCGCCAACTTTTTTCCCATTTAAAATTGTACTATTACGATTTAAATTGATTAATTTTGTAATTACTTCTTTAAATAAATTTTGTGCAGAAATTGTTTATTTACTAAAATTAACACTTATGGAGGACGTATTTAAAAGTAATTTAATATAAGACAATGATAAAATCACAATTTCTTACAAATATAAAGATGGAAAATGTTATTGATACATAAGATAGAAATGTTTTTCTATTTAAAAAATTATCTTATTTTTCATTTATACGGTTTTATTTATTCGTATAATCAAGCATAACGTGTGAAAAATTCTTTAAAATATTGTATATAAAAAAATGTCACAATATAAAGGCAAAATAAGTATGCAATAGATATAAGACAATTATATAGATATTATAAAAAAAAATAAATATAGTTTAACTCATAACATGTATGTATTGTTTGATTGGTTAGAATATTTTTAATAGGAATCAGTGGCATTTTTATGATATTTCCAACCATTTCAATTTTTTTTTTTTCAATACAGACACACTTTAAAATTTAAACAATTACCGAAATATATATGATTTGTTACCAATATCATAATATACTTATCTTTTATTTCGATATAATTTATCTAATAAACAAATTTATACAATAGAAACATTGAATATATCTCTATGTAACTAGATGTAATTTTACAAAATACAATTTAGTCATGGATATAAAGGAAGGATACACTTATTTCCTTCACGATTAATCAATTGCCATATTGTATCATAAAAGAAAAATTAAATATATAAGCAATAATAGTTATTAAAATCTGTAATTCGTTCATTTTTGCGTATCCTTTGGTTGAAAGCAACAAAACTTATAAACATTGTGTAATTTTTAATAACACGTATCATTGATTCAAACAAGCACTCAAGTATTCGAGGCATTATCATCCATTCGTCCATCCATTAATCTATTTATTTATTCATCCGTATCTTATTAACTCCGGAACGATCGTGCTGAAGAATAAACACGGCTGATTTTCGAACATGAATGACTAATGTCATCTGCACAATCACTCCAGGTATTTAGTACAAAGAATGAGGAACCGCGTACTTTGAGGGACATTTATCTTTTAAGCAAGATTATTAAGCAGGTATCGATGAAGTCGGATTACCGGGCATACGATAAATACCGCTGAACAATATACTATCTATTGTTTTATCATAAATGAAATATATAAATGGATGATTAGCATTAAAGACAGCCGGTTCAGATGGCCTGCTCGAACGGAAAGTAAATAATGCCGTTGCTGCTGCTGCTGTCGTGCCCTCTTCAGTAACCTCAATTTTAGCTTTATGAACACCGTCTCCCAAATGAAGAGTATTTTCACCGTCAGCTACGAAATCTCGCAAATCAGCCATATTAGGTCCTACTAGATCTTCAAGACCGAGTTGAATAAGAAGAGTTTGAAATTCTAACTCTCTTTCCAATTCGAATCGTGGTAAGGAGACTTCGACTTGTCTCGATGACATTCCATCTTTAAGAAGTATTTGTAATTCCATCGCATCAGCATCATTGGAGATACGATGAAGAACGTTCCTGATACCTCCGTCTCCTTGAATTCGACTCGGATCATCGTTCAAAGATCTGGCTGCTGCGAAAGGTGGTAGTAGAATGAACATTGAGATTTCTGAACCTTTATATGGAAGTTCAAGAATGTGCGCTCCCAATTCCTCCGAGACGACTGTTGAACAAACGAAGATGATACGTTTTACTCTTCTTTATCGGTTTATATAGTAATATCAAAATATATATGCGTAATATACGTATATTCAAATGTATTACACTAACCGTGATTGAATGTGTTCTTTTGACGCATGAACGTAATTACGGAATTTTGCTTGCCAGGTGTATAGAAGATATCTTTTTTCGAATTAGCTGGTTCAAAACGACTTTGCCAGAGACCTTTGAAGTAAACGGCATTAACCAAGACGAGATCCGTATTTGTATCGATACTTTTTTTTGGTAATAGGTCACGGATATGACCCTTTGTAACGTTACTGACCCAATTGTTTATAACTGTTCTTACTTCTGTTGGATTGGTCATAAAGTCGGTCTTCACTAACTCATCAGCGAACAAATCCAACATGCATTCACGCAACTTTGCTGTATTCGTTACCCAAAGCCGGTTTGCGGAATTGTATTCATAATTGCTTGACCCATTTTTCTGAAAAGAGTTTAAGTAAAAATCATCGCTTCTCATCGAGGTCAAGCGTTTCGCTCTTGTTTCACGAGAAGCCTCACCTTGAAACGAGAATCATTCTTACCTTTTTACTTTGTTGTAAAGATTTCTTAAAAGAGTAATATCTCATAACATCGACTTTCGATAAATTATCCGGAATATGCAAAGCTTTTTTTAAGGATGCCTCCGTGTTACCACGTGCACCAAAATACGCTAAAAGCAAGGCATTGTAAATGCTATCCGGACTGAGAAATATACTGTTCTCAGTTTCAATTTCAGCGGACTTCTTTAATGCATCTAGGGCAAATTTGTAACGACCTTGATCGAGTGCCTTTTTCGAATCCGGATTCATTTGAGTGGGATTATCATTGTCTGTTAAACATTGTCCCGTGATACCACCGATCAAAGTTAATAACAATAATAATGGCATTGCCTGAAAAAAGAAATAAATATGGATTACTTTTTAAAAGTTAGTGACGTCATTTCTTTTTTCGTTTCTATTTTTTTGGATGAATCAAATCCTTTAACAGTTCGCATTCGATTGTCTATAAGAAGAATTTCATATAAACGTCAAGGATACAATTCCGAAAGGTTTACACTCGCAATGTCGCGTGTTTTCCTATGTGTTACGAAATCATTTTAGCGCATGAGCAAGCGAAGTTTTAATCCTATGCTTTTTTTTCTTTCTTTCTTTCTCATAAAAAAAGTCCAAGAACGATAATAATATATTTACATATATGCCGAATAAATAAAATACATAATTAATAAGACGATATGTTCTCATTTTATTTTATCAAATTTTTTGTCTTATCTCTCGTTAGATAGAAAGATTTCAATGCGTGGATTTAAAAAGATTCATAGGAGGCTACCTAGAAAGTTGACAACCCGCGTTTCTCTGTATAAATCGTTTTCTTTAAAACATTTTATCGTTTGGAGAAAGCGATAAGATAATTCGTATAAATAAAAAGTAAATGAAATAAGAGATTATATATATATTAAAAGCATCTTATTAATCGAAAGATCAATTCTACAGATGTCCTATAATTTCTTCATCATTTTAATCTGACATTGCTACATGTGATATTAGATATCTCGTACGTATTTTACTTATTAACTTTTTCCTTCTTATTGATCTCTTATCTTATTATCTAAAGTCGCATAGATCAATAAGATTATTATTTTTTCTCAATCGGGAAGAAAAGATTTCATAAATTAAGACACTCCGTTTGTACGAGTGAAAGCAGCGAGTAGTAAAACCATGACATCATATAATTCAACTTTCTTGCTTTAAACGAACAGACAACTTATGTATGACGGGACAACAACTATTCGTGTGACGAAATTTACACCGCTACGCCTACGTTTTATTTTGAAGATGAAAATATGTACATATGTATTATTACAACAACTACATAGTAGTTATTTCTCTCGAGAAACATGCGAAAAAAAAGAAATATCTTCCTGGTATTATTTAGATTAACTACTGACCTAATTGCTGCTGTTGCTGCAGTTGCTTCTTATTATTATTCTTTATCTTAACGAATTTAATTGGAAAATTTAATATATTTCTTTTTTCTCTGTTTGTTTTTTTTTTCAAGGACTGCTGTTTCTTCTTCGTTCATCGCGATATATATCGCATAAGAATTCTTTACACGAATACGTAGTCTCATTCGTAAATCGATCACGCACGAACGTATTTAACACAAGTCACAAGTTTGAATACGTAGGAGAAAAGATATATGTATTTTCTTTCTCTTTCCCTTTCGCTCTTTCTCTCTCTTTCTTTCTCTGTTAATCTTGAAATATATTCTATTTTAAGTTAGAAGCTTAAGTCACACAGATTAATTGCTATATATATATTTAAAGTACAAAGGTATATATATATACACGTAATATATTTATATACCATTGACGAAGAAGAAGCATCATTTTTATCACTATAGTTATATATATATATATATATATATATATATATATATATATAGTTATTTAATGAATAGATAAATTGTTTATAAATTGATTGAGATATATTTTTCTGTATCTGCTTGTATATTTTGTAAAAGTAACGTAGAGAAATAGAAAGAAATAGAAAGAAATACATGGATAACATTAATGATACATAAACATTTTCGTAAAGGGTTTTGCGTAACTAAAGTGGATAATCACAGGAAATACGGTGTAGGTTTGCATTAAGGTGCGGTTTTGTTATCGTAAGAGGTTAGGCGATACGATTCAGTACTTTCTTATTTAAGTATTATACTATTTAAATGAGATACTGATAATAAGTTAATCTTTGAACAAAGAGCATATAATGTCAAATCTTATCTTTAGTGAATGCCTATAAATACGAGGATAATGTGATTAGGTGACCGATATTTTTGGAGTTTCGAAAATGATCATGGTCATTGGATGAATCATTCGTTACATTCGTTTTTGAAAGTGAACCACCAGCACGTGAATGAATTCATTAAATTAAAATACTTCAGTGTGAAAATCAATTGACGCGTCGTTCGTGTTTATAAATGTGAACATTTTGTTATGTATGCTAATATGTCGTTCATTCATGTTATTTCATTTCATTTTGTTTAATAAACAAAACTTGATTGTACATGTAAATATAAAAAAAAAACCACCGCAACAACAACAACAACAAAAATTTATGAAATACACGGATGCAATGAGAAAATTTGCAGGAAGACATTTGACTTGAGTATTGGACTTACCGATTCGGAGAACATTGTTTTGCTTCTTTGATAACAATAAATCGAATAACTTTCTTTAATTACGTTCTATGGGAAAAGATATACAAACGTACTCCTCTTTATTGAGCTTTGAACGGAACTAAGAGACTATGACGATCCAGGCACGGGAGAGATGGTCGTTTTCTATAAACCCCACCAAGAAACTTCGATGTTCGTCATACTTGAATCGAGTATATCCTTTCGAATGACTCGTGTTTCTCTTTTTTTATCCCACTCCTTTTCTCCAACCTACTACGTCTTCTCAACGTATGTAAGTATATATATATATATATATTTACTTACATACATGCTTACTTCCTGAACGTTGGAAATGCCCGAAGAGTCATAATTGTTTTCTCCTCAGAAAATTCCTCAAGGAGAATGAAGACGATTCGTATTGATTTTCGCGCGCTAAAAATCGATCCCGATTTATTTGTTCTTTGTTATCCCATATTTACTTTATACGTATATTTATCTTTTTTCTTCTTTGATGACTAACAATTTTGACTGACCATTTTCCTCACGGAGGTATGGAATATTCCATTGTTAGCGATGCGTTAATCAATCAGTAAAGTTCGTAAAGAACAATTAATAATTATGTTCGACAATGAAAGAACCGTAAATTTAATTAAAATCAATCAGTTAGTCAAATTGATAAATTTGTACATATCATTTTACAGCATTTAACGATAAACCGAGTAACTTGTTGAGATTGAAAACGAATAAATCTTTCAAGTAAACAAAAAGACATCTCGCGATCATCTATTATTTTTATTGAATCTTGTTTAATTATCGTTAATAAAACCTATTTTTAATGAACACTCCTCATTGATATATATGGAAAAGGGTAAGTGATTTAAATACTTTAATTATTTAACTCTTCGTTTTACGTTCGTTTGAATTTGAATATATTTCCTAGCTAAATCATTTTTATTTCCGTTCTATTCAGCTGTTTTATCGTTCGTTCAGCATCTAATTCACATTTCTGAAGATCATGTTCTGCTAAAGGCTTCACGATTTGACCAACATTTGATCTCAAGCATATTTTACGATACAGAATATAACAATTTTTATAAGATTATCATTGACGTTTTAAATTTCATTCGAACGAATAGATATATTAGTTTCGTATTGCAGTTTAATATTGCAAAAAATCGTTTACTATTTCTTTTTATGTTTTTTTTTTTTTATAACCAGTCTCTTATACTCATCATTCTTGAGACTGATCTTAAGTAGGGAAAGCGTGCGATTTGATAATCCTTTTAAAACTTGTATCATTTATTTCTCAGATTAAATGATCAACAATATCTTGACTCGAGAGAAGATATAAGGTCAAGATCATTAAAAGAGATTAAATGAGACAATAAAAATGATTCTAACCGAGGATCGTATTTATTCGAATTGTTAATAATTTTTAAAAGTAGTAATAGATTGGAACGTTATATTTTTTTGGTTTATTTTTTCTTTTTTATTTGTTTGTATCTTTTGGAATTTATTGTGAAACGAATTTTGTATTGATTTAGTTGAATCAACAAAAAATCAGAAAATACCGATTATATCATCGATGCAATCGTTTTATTTTTAAGTATACCGAGCATGGGATTTTCCTTTCCGTTATTACTTTCAAATTCATAATCAATGAGTCTTCTTTCATTGAAACGGCAATACTATAATACTTTAAATGATTTTTATATTATCTCGTCCCAATATTTTCTTGCCTTTTCTTTGAATTTTTTGTTTTTATACTGACGTAAGTTATATACGATCCATTCTGCTCTATTACTTTTCTTTATAAAATCGATTGTATATAACTCGCAGTAAAATAACATAAAATAAAAAATATTGTGCATGTAAAACTTATTAAAAACAAAAAAATCAAAAAACAAGAAACTTTTGCAATGATCTGAATATATTCTAATAATAATAATAATTTGCATTTTATTTAAAATATTATTAAAAAATCCGTAGATAAATTTAATATTCTTTTTATATAGCTTTGACATGCGTTCTCTTTATTTGTTGCATAAGAACAGATGCTAACAACACAATTTTCAATGTCCGTAACAACTGTGAAGCGTGAAATATTATACCTAGGGTGAAGTTTTTAATTTCAACGAGTTATTTTTTTTTTTTTTTTAAAGAGACGATACGTACAATAAAAACAACATGTACGATTAAAGAACATGATTAATTTTCATTATCGATTCAATAATGAAAATCGATCGAAAATCAATCTTCGACGCAACTTGTAACGTGACCGTATTTCTTGATAACACACAAGTATATGTGTACGATTATATATCTATTTATGCAGATCCATTTTAATATAAAAATCTTCAATACAATGCAATTATCGTATATTTATCGATGTTAAGCAATGATTATCTTACCCGTGATTGTACCATTGTTCTTCCTTTTGTTTTACAAATATCAAAGTGTTTTTTTTTTTTAAAAGATTGTTTCTTCTAATTGTAAAACACTCGTTATGATAGCAAATAAACAACAACCATCTGACGTGCATGTAGTGCACGAACTGCAGTACTATGTAACATTGTTGCTTTATATACTCTTGTTGATTTTTAATAAAGAAATTGTACGTCATACCACGTCAACTTAATTTCCCCCTTCCTCTATTTTCATCGAAAATACTTTTACGCGTCTTGTCGATTCACTATGTATTTTTTAATTGATTTTATATAATTGCAATATGATCAGAAGGAATTTCCCCACAAGATTTTACTATTAATATGTTTGTATCGATAATGCGATTTCCAATAAAACATATATCATTCGTACTTTGTGATGTGTTCAAGTATAGAAAAATATAATTTTGCTGATTCAAAATATATTTGCGAGAGATTTAATGTATTTATTTTATCGTTAATATATCAATTTATATATTATATCAATATTTATATATTAGAAAAAATTTTATTTTTTATTTTTTCCATAATTTTTTTTCTAAAAATCGTTTACTCATAAATATATTAAAATTATATATTATACAGAAATTTTACTAATCGTATAAAATTATACATATTTATATGCTTTTTTGTTTGTTTGTTTTTTTTCTAAATTTGATCGTACGAGCATATATAATTTTAGTTCAAAGAAATATTGCTCATAAAAGTAATAATTAGGAGTTAGGTAATAAGGATACATCAAAGATATTATCTTTTTCCGCTTAATTGTATTTATATACAAACCGGAACAGAGACTAATATTTTGACATTTAATATTTGCCTCAATAAATGATATCGTCAAATTCTTTTATGATGCATTATTTTTTTTGCATTTTTTTCATTCAGGATGAAATGATATATTCACTCATTATTCAAATAAAATATATAATTAACAATTATAAAATATATAATTAACAATTAAAAAATACACATATAATACTCTGTTATAATACATATTATTCTATTAAAAAAAGGACCTTTCTATTAACGCCTTCTTACATTTATTCAATACTATCAGATACGTCGGGTCTATATTATTCTATTATTATACGTTAGAATAATAAAATTGTTTATACTAAAATCGAGAAATAGTAAGCTGCCTTCGAATATACGTAAAGAAATACAATCTTTAAGAATAATATTCTACATTTTTTTCTATAGTTACTATATTTACTTAATTAAGAAGATAAAATAACATTGTTAGATGCCGTAGAATTTGTACGAGTACCAAGCGATTCTTGGTTTTCTATATTTTCTATTGTTTTTTGGGTTTTCTTATTATTTAACCATATTTTAAACTTATTACCACTTTTAAAATGTTTTATCATTGCAAATATAGCTATTATTAAAAATATCACAGCCAAAATAACATAATAACAGCCATAAATAAAAAACTGAAACAGAAAAAATGAATTATTTTAAGATAAAGTAATAAAATCCTTATCATATAAAAACAATTTTATCTATTAGATTAATAATATCGAAATTCAATATGTATCTTCTTACTTGCGATCTGATATCCTTTCCAAGATTGCCATTAATAACTATTAACGTTAACAAACTTTGGAATAATAATGCAAAAAAGATATTTGTACCAAATATTAAACCATAACTATCTTCGGATATATATTTCGCAACTTCAAAGCTATAAAATAACAAAATATAAAATATACAAATTATATAAATATTTGAATCTAAATAAGAATTACCTTGCAACAGTGACCATAGTGTGATAAATTACTCCAAATACTATGTAAGCGACGTATTGTACCCAAATATTATAACTGTAGGAACATAATATGATTAAACCACCTTCCATAAGTGCAAATATTGTTAACATTATATCTCCTATCAGTGGCCAATTCAATGGTATTTTAGCAACAGTAAAAACGGTCAAAGCACCTAATGAGAATTTTTATTTTATGAATAGTTTCATGCATACAATAATATACTGATTATATTTTTTTTAGTTCATTAATTTCTAACATTTATACTTCAAGTTGACGGCAATCCTTTTGCATATTAAATTTAATTATTAAAATAATGTAATATATATAAAATTTTAGCTGTGTGTGGCAAAACATTTTCTTTAAAGTTTTTACTTAAATAGTGAAACCTCAATTAAAGCCAATAACAGTAAAGAAAAACTATTTTTTCAATTTATCTAAGCACTTTGGATGTTAAGTTGAAGTTAATAAATGATTCTATATGTGTTTTAAACCTTTAACGAGAAGCAATATCTACAATTATACAAATCTAAAAGTAAATAGATACCAACGATAAACAAAGTTCAGCATATATTGGTAATCGCTTTAAGAATGCGTCAGGATAATGAATTTAAAAAAAAAAAAGAAGAAAATAAGTTTGTATACTGCATGAGTTTTGTATATATTTGACATACGCAAAAAGGCTATCGTTAATTCGAAGTGTCCCATTAGAAACAATATCTTTATTTTTTTTTGTAGATATTAATATAAAATTGGTAATATATTTACCAATTATTGCATAAATGGCATCTATTGCTCCGTTATAAATCTCGTCGTAAGATTTAACAGTCGTTTGCCATACAAGCTGGGCATAACTGGTTATTTGTAAATAGCCACAGGTTGATAATGCCCACCACATGGACCATTTTACGACATCACCATGTGTATACGCATTTAAAAAATGTTTCCATAATAGTGCGTAAGCACGTTTTACTTTGGAAGACCTAGAGGTAACATTTATCTTCGCAGAATCACAGTTCGACTTTTTTCTAAGATTAAGTTCATGACAATTATTATCTTCAAGTGATTTCACGTTATCTGTTGATGATGTGGATTGAATATTTTGATTATGAATAGTTGAATGAAAATAAATAGATTGTCCCACGGATGGTAAAAAAAATGTCCATAATGTGGCAAATGCAAAAGCTGAAAAAAAAAATATGTTTTTTCGTTGATCAATATATCTATCATTGATTTATCTGTGATAGAGGAAGAGAGATAAATTTAATCTTATTGTATATATCGAAATTATCAAGATATATAAAAAATAATTAAAAATATATTTGATGATATAGGTCTGCCGATAATATTGTTCATAATAGATTTAAATTGTTATTATTAAAATTTGTTAATATACCTGCAGCAGTGAGATAGTTCAACTGATGGTAATCTAAGATATGAAAAGAAGATGTTAATTGTGCTATGATTCCACCCATACATCGTCCAACAAGGGTAGCTGCTTTTGTATGACCTGTCACTTCTTGATAATGCTCTTTATCAACTTTTGCATAAATGTACGTATAATATGCCACTTCACAAGAAAGAAACAGGCCATAAAAGAATTCAACGACCTGAGCTACTATTATAGTTTTTGCAAGTATTAGTACAAAAAATGTAATAAATCCAGAAATGGAACACAGTATTATAATAGGTTTATATCTTACAAAATCAGTTATCAAAAATATTATCACTAAAGTTAAAAAGTAACAATATGTGCTAACTGGATAAATATCTTGATTTACCTGAAAGTTAATAATATACATGTCATTAAAACTGTTTGAGAGTAAGTATTAAATAATAGATTTAAATTTTGATTGTGTAATTTCACAAACTTCTGTTATTGTAAAATTCTTCCATGGTCCTGTTAAGTAATCAGTTATAAATGATTCTGATGGTCTGAAGTTTGTTAACATTCCAAACATACATAGAATGAGAGATATCTTCCTCCAATGCATTGTAAAAAATATATTGTTTATTTTTTGTACTTGTTAGAAAATGTAACATTAAATATTTTATTTACTTTTGTTATACCTAGAAATATATAGATTGTTTGTATATATTTAAAGCAATCAAATACATTTAAAGTTTTATATTAATGATAAAAAATACATAATAAGAAATATACTTTAGTATATTTAATTAGAAATATATTATTAACAATTTATAAAGACAAGTTTTAAAAGAATTGAGCAAAAAATTAATAAATAAATTTAAAATTAAAAGATCATCACAAAATCTTTCTCGCGTGTATCGTCAAGATAAAGAGATAACACAGATAAAACTCGATAAATTGAACAAACAAAACAATTTAATACAAATTATATATTGAATATGGAATTATTAAAACAGATTTATATTAAATTACCATTTTTTATTTCAATATCAATCATTTAATTTGTTATGCTAATAAGAATTATTAATACTGTGTTCCCCTTGGAAATACATTTTTAACGTAATATATAATATAATACGTTTAAAATATTACATGTCAATAAAGTAATTTCAATTAAAATTGTATTATCTCATATAAAAATGTTCTGTTATGTCACATTCGTGTGTATTATGTTTAATTAAGTACCAATTAATAAATTAACCGGATAAGGCTCTACTTCTTCACTTACCTCGTGTTCAACGAGGTATGATCCATTGAGCACTGATAGACGACAGCACGAGTTACCTTTAGTCCTATGATTGTACACAGTATGTAGTAAGATAAACTGGTATTTAAACTTGTTTTTGTCGCCATCTAGACATTCAGAATACTACTACATGTGTTGATACAATTTCTGTATCTTATGTATAATCTTAATAAGATTCTCTCTCAAAAAAATACATTTTCTTAAAAAATATAAACGAATACAAAATATCAAGTAATTGATTTAATTGTGGATTGTCTATTAAAGTATGTTACATCTCAATAACAACAATAGCAACCAATGAAAAAATTTGCTTTTCCCTGAGATTCAAACATATGATTGGATGTAATTGGATAAAAAACAAGAACTTGACTAAATAAAACTTAAAATTGTTGACATTTCATATTCGATCCTGTAGTGAAATTTATGTATACATCTGTCTGTCTGTGTTTGTATATCATACATAATATGCATACTTTTTTGGCCTTAATATTCCTTAAAAATGGAGAATGTTAAATAAAATTGTGTCGAATGTTTATCATGTTTTATGAATATTGGAGATGTATCGTGCAAATGTAAGTATTAGTAATATTTATTAAAGTATTGTTCTTGATTAATTAATTATATTTTTTGTAGCAAAATGGACAACAGCAAAGAGCAAATGTTGAACCAATACACCCAAATCGGATTAATGGAAGACAACCTTCACCTATAAATGTTCCAATGTCGGTTTTAGAACAGTTTAGAGAATCATGGTTAACTGCAATTATTGGATCTATTTTATTTGCGACTGGCATGTGTCTGTTGTTTTGGAACGAGGTATGTAATTTGTAAATCATGTTTTTTAATCAAACTTGTATAATGAATACATTTGCGTTGTTCTCAGGGAAGAGCAGTAAAAGTAGCATATTCTTTAGACGAAGCTTTACGGAATGTAGCAGTACTTTCAAATCCATTTAAGTTGTTACCTGAATTTGAAGGCCGGCTAATACATATTTCAGGGCAATTATCCATATCGGAGCCATTGACTGAACCTGATTATGGCATTATTGTGTCAAGCGTTAAATTAAAAAGAAGAGTACAGATGTATCAATGGGTCGAAATTGAAGAAGAAAGAAGGTAATTGTATTTGATCGTTGAATATAATTGATTATAAATATTCTTTAATGTAAGTAGAAATACCATTAAATTAAAATACTATTTTAGTTTTGGCGGAGTGACAGAAGATGAGAAACATTATTATTATACGACAGAATGGAAGGATAAGCTTGTAGATTCTGATCATTTCTATATTAGAACCGGTCACCATAATCCAAAAGAAATGCCAATCAAAAGTCAAATACAAACTGCTAACGAAGTTAAAATTGGAGCTTTTATTCTTGGATCTGAATTAAAGAAGAAATTTAATGAATTTGTTGAGATTACCAGCGATGAAAGACCAGAACGAAAAGATATCAAAATGCATTCTGGATTATATTATCATAGCACAGACTTGTGGAATCCCCAGGTATCTCCATAATAAATAGTGCATTTTTGTGTTTGTATAATATATTCATTGTTTTCTTTTTGTTTTTTTTTATAGGTTGGAGATATTAGAATACAATTTTCTTATGCAGGGAAACAAGGTGATATTTACTCCGTTGTTGGAATGATGGAGAAAGGAGTTATTGTTCCTTATACTACATCACATGGAGAAGATATTTTACTTCAAAGGAAACACAAAATAACAGTAGATCAAATGTTTCATTTAGAACACGTGCACAATTATTGGAGAACTTGGAGTATCAGGTAATCTTTTTTATAGTAATTATTTTATTTAAATATTTTTATATATTTTATTTAAGAAGTGTTTTATTCTTATAAAATTATTTATTAAGAAACATTTTTTTGGTATGAAAATGCATAACTAATTTCAGAGGACTTGGATGGTTAGTTCTATTTTTGGCGGCAACTTGTTTGGCAAATATATTGAGAACAGTAATACTTAATTCTACATTTTTATGTGGAATAATAGCAATTGAGTCATTAACAATGTCCGTTTCCATGTCCATTAGTTTATTAGTAATTGGTCTGGCATGGGTATGGTACCGACCAGTAATTAGTCTGTGCTTAGCTTTAGCTTCAATTTTACCTTTTATTTATTCAACTTTAACAGCATCTCAATCGCAACAACGTGATAATTATAGAAGATTATAGTCTTATGCTGGAAATATCAATAATGTATAGCATATCTATTTACAATACTTTTTTTAGTTTTACCAAAGAATGTGAATTTCATTGTTAATTTTATATATATAGTTATTTATTAAATATTTAAAATAAAACTTTTGTATTATAAAATAGCTATAATGTTTTAGAAATACTTATTATCAAATGTAAAAAAATGTGAAATACATCAGCTTATGCAACATATACATTACATACGTATTGATAACATAAAAAAAGTAGTTTATTACCAGAAGCAGTTTCAACGTTGGTTAAGAATATCAGTATAAGATGGCGTTGAATGTCTATTAATTGATCATTGACTTATAATTTGATCAATGAACTTAAATTAAGTATATTTTCTTTGAATTATGCATTAGCAAAAACGTTTAGAAAAATTATTAAAAGACTAACATATTTCAGAGATAAAATTTAAATCTTAAATAATATTTTTTGAATAAAATAACTTATATATCACTTTCCTCTTTATAGAAATAGAATCATATATCTAAATAAACAAATTTTCAACAAATTGATAAAGTAAGAAATCTAAATTTATGTATGTGGTATATATAGGTATCTATGCATATATATATCTGATTTCATAATATCCTAATATAAATTCATTTCAACGATAGCTACGTTAAGATATTGCAACGAAGAGGAAACTAGGCAAAAGGAGGAAGGTAAAAAAAAAATAGGAGGAAAACATCGACCAAGCCGATGTCTGCACAATGCAAGGAAAATGCACAGCTGTGCAACCCTTTACAAACTTGGCCCGGAATAGCACGGATTTGTAATGAACTGAATATTACCCGGATTCCTCCTCTCTTTTCTCATTTTCTCTCTCTCTCTCTCTTTTGGTTTCTTTCTCTTTTGCACGTTTGATATCTACGGACGCTGTTTCAGGAAATTGCATTATACCCGACTCTCGATTCAGTCGTATCAGCGACGAACAGTCATGCCATTGTACCAGACTGTGCGTATTATGTTACTCGTTATTCGTGATTTTGAAAGCACAATGCGTTCGTGATTTTAACTCGGTTGAATCACGTTTATCTCGAGTATACAGCTATAGAAATTTTTGTCGACAGAAATAGTCGATATAAACTAGCATCGTTACCAAACAATATATATATTGAAAATATTCCTAGTTGTAAAAATTCAAAAGAATTTATTTTGAATGGAAAGAGCTAATTTCCATTATTAATTTATGATTTATTCTCTATCAACGATTTTCGTTCACTTACATTAAAAATGAAGACAATAGGATATATATTATATATATAAAGAGAAAGAGGGAGAGAGAGAGAGAGAGAGAAAGAGAGAGAGAGAGAGAGAATAGACAGAAGATTAGCAGTTTGTTAACTAAGCAGGGAATAGTCAGGCAAGCCACCATTCGATTTTTTTCAAATTTTGCACACTTGTAATAGTCCATTATAATATTCATTGTACCTTTAAACATCGCGTACAGATTAAGACGTTTGCAAAAAAACGCGGAAAAAAAGATGCATTTTTACAAATATTAAGAGCTATAATTGTTAAAGAATTTTAAATAATAATGTATATGTCATATTTAGTTTTTGTGTGTGCCTTCAGAAATGCCTTTATACATACATATTTGAAAAAGTAGCCATTATTATATTAGAAGCTTAAGTAGAAGAAAATTAAAACGAATAGATGAAAAATCCCACGATGATCACCTGTAACAGAAAGAAAACTATATTAATCATACAATCAAGTGATACAATAGCCTGACATACAAATCGTCCCATTCGCAGATGCACTTTTCAATTGAAATCTATATTTATTTTGATCAAATCTGTATTAACCGTTGTAATGAAACTAAATTTAAACGCGTGATTTTATATTTACATAAAATATATACAAATAAAGAAATAGGAAAAATACAAATATTAGGTTACTATAAGAAAAATATTTATTAATTATTATGAAATACTTGTGAACTGAATTATATGGAAAAGAAAAATAGCAAAGTTAATAAAATACGATCATAAAGAAAAATATTAAAAACGAAACAACAAAATAGAAATTACTGTAATATTTAACTAACGATAATTAAATTTGTAGATTATATAATACGAAAATTTTAATATTTTTGACTCTAACTAAACACATATGCATCCTTTCGACGATATAGACACGAATTTGGTGTCCCAAGGAGATGGAATGGTCCATCATCTCCAATTACAACTACAAATTAATGACGAGCAACAAAATTATACAATAAAATATAAAATATGACTAGAGAGCTATTCTCAAAAAGTTCGAACTTGCTGTTGAACCTTTGAAAATAACTCAATAGTCTATGTAGTTGCCCTCTTCAGCCACAATTAATTCGGCATTAGCCTCTTCGGCATTTAGCTTCTTCTTTCTTCATGCCCTAAACGTTGCTGTGAGGCTTTTTTTAACATTTACTCGAATGCCTCAACAGATATTTGATCTAATCGATGAACCTATTATTAACACTTTGCATTTAAAAAATTAAATGATATCAAGCAAAAGCAGAAACTTTGCCATAAATCTTATGGTCTTACTTTTTCACTCAACTACTTTTATCTTTTATCTTTATTCTACTTTGTATTTACGATATATATATAAAAAATGAAGTGTTTTCAGTAGGAATTACTAAAGAGCAAAGCGYTAATATACTTAATATTAAGTAAGTATCCAACGTATTCAGCTATCTTCACTTTTTCGAAAAAAAAKTAATTTTTAAGAAAACGCAAAGACTTTTGAATCGTTCGATACTGATTTATATCTCGCGGGACAGAGCATCAGCAATATATGGAAAAAATAAAAGAAATATTTAAATGATAAATGAATCT